CTACCAGTTCTCGGTCATTTTCAGACAATATAGTGAATAAATTAGAAGTTTTGAGTGGAACCGCGATTTCTGAGATATACCTCACTTCAGACTCCCTTTACCCCCCACTTCGCACTAAACGCCATTTTTGCAAGCTTGCGTATGTAAAACAAACGTCATTTAAAAGTTGGCTATGGACGAAGATGTATACATGTGGTCGTTATTTAAAAATTTGTTAGTGTGCACCCCATGCGGAAATAGTGATTATTTTGTAAAATACTGATTCTAAAGGTAAGTTTTTATTATTTTTAGATAAGTAATATGTTCAGCTATTGTTATATTTAGAGCCAAACTGATAAATCATGAATTTTAAATGTTTTGTTTGGTGGCCGGTAAACTGGCTTAATTAAAACTGTCAAACCATTTCTCGACCGAGGTGGCCGAGAGCCGGTCTTAAAAGCAAAATATTGTTTGTCTTCGTTTGTGTCACGACTTGATAATAAGTCGTAACCATTTTACCGGCGTATGTAAGACAGTTAGTACTACAAAATAGCCAGTTTTCGGCCGGGCTATCTAAAAAAAACGCGGCAAATAAAAAAGTTTAAACTAGCGACCGAGAAAAGGTAAATTGGCCCTTTCTCGGCCATTAACTTTAACTTTAAAGGTTTGATTTGTTTTTAATTATTTTGTATCTAACTACGTGTTCTTTTAAATAAATTTGGGAATCCCCAAAACTGAAAAATATAATTTGACGCAAAATACTTACTAAATTATTCTTTTCCAGATGGCCACCACTAAGCACAGCAAAAAATTAAATATGTCAACGCAGGCAAGAAAACTGTTCCGGTACTCGGAAGAAAATTTAATGCTTGCACTAAATTCTGTAAGAGAGGGCAAAATGAGCACAAGAACGGCTGCGAAACATTATAGTGTGCCCAGGACCACTCTCCAAGACAGGGTGTCGGGGAAAACCCCAGACAATTTACGTAAAACGGGCCCAGAGCCAATCATGACTGTCGAAGGAGAAAAACGCATTAGGGATTGGGTCATAAGTCTGGCCAAGTGTGGATTCCCAATAAAAAAGCAAGAACTAATAGAAACAGTAACTAAAATAGCAACAGAAAACGGAAAAATTGAAAAATTCAAAAATGACAGGCCTGGAGAAAAATGGTATATGTGTTTCATCAAACGGCACCCAGAAATACGATTACGTGAGTCCGAGAGTATTAACAAAGCGAGGGCAGTCATCACGAAAGAATATATTAAGTCCTGGTTTTCAGAACTAGAACAGTTCTTAAAAGAAAACAATATTATGGATATCATGGAAGACCCTTCCCGAATTTTTAATGGCGATGAATCAGGTTTTTCATTGTGTCCGAAAACCGGAAAAGTTCTTGCTCCCCGTGGATATAAAAACGTTTATTCAATTAAACAAGGCAACGAAAAAGAAACATTAACAGTGCTCGTAACATTTAATGCCAGTGGTAATATATGTCCTCCACTTGTTGTTTTTCCTTACGTGAGGCCTCCGAAAGCATTGATAAATAATATGCCAGAGAATTGGGTGCTGGGAAAATCTGAAAGTGGGTGGATGAAAAGCGACGTGTTTTACGAATATATCTGCAATGATTTTAACCAGTGGCTTAAAGACAATAATATTAAGAAGCCAATAATATTGTTTATTGATGGACACAGATCACACCTTAATATATTTCTGAGTGAATTTTGTGAAAAAAATGGAGTAGTTTTGTATGCACTTCCTCCAAACACTACTCACATCCTACAACCGGCTGATGTTAGTGTGTTTAGGCCATTAAAACATGAATGGAAGAAGACCATTCGACTATGGCAAAGTGAACAAGACGTGAATACCGCTGTCACAAAGATAAATTTTTGTCAAGTATTTCAGCAGGCGTTAGATAAAGCAGATATGCAACCATGTATTAAAAATGGCTTCCGAAAGTGTGGCTTGTTTCCTTTGAATCCAAACAATGTTGACTACACTAAATGTGTAAAAAATGAATTAGAAAGAAAACACGATAGCATGGAGCATGCAGAAAAAATAAGCTGTGAGGAAGCCCAAGCAGCAAAAAAAGTCATTAAAATTTTAGAAAAGAAATTAAAAAATAGTGGTATTAACACGGACATAATTTATAAAGCAATAAATGATATAACATTTGGTGTTAACAATGACGGAAATGTGAGACAAGAACAAAAAAAGATACATGTTATAAGCAATATTACCATCAATAAGCAGGATACGATTGCGGATAATCTAAATACTTTTCCTTTGGAAGTAGGAACCGTAGTACCTATGGAGTCACTGCAGATTATTCCTGTTGAAGAAATAAATCTAATGGCATTCGATAATATCTCTATAAATCAGTTTTTTGAAGAACCCCAACACGAAGTACTAAATACTGACAAATATGATGCTTGTGAAATGGAAGCGTTGAATGGCGATTGTGCTCGTTATTGTACTATAGAACAAACTAATAATGGCGAACAGAAAACTGACAAAGAAAGCGTTAATATTGAACAAAAGGTTGAGCAGGACAAAGACAAAACTAAGGAGAAATCGGAAGAACTAAAGGAAAATATTGATCCAGATAGTCAAAACGACAAAAGTAACATTGAAGGAATGGATGAAAATGACTCAGTAAATGATAAAAACGAACAGCCAGAAAAGGAAAATGAATATACCACTAAAAATAAAACAACGGAAATTCAATATAAAGAAGAAGAAGAGAGATTTGTGAAAGAGAAAGGCAAAATGCATGAAAAATCTGAACAAAAAAAAGAAATTACCGATCTAGATGTTCAAAATGAAAAAGATGACACTACACAGAAAAATGAAACAATAAATGATAAATTGGAGCAGGCAGAAGAAACAGAGGTACCAGCTTATAAAAAAGAAGAGACAAATTTAAAGACGCAAGAGAACGAGCAAAGTAATAAAACGGAATTGGCAGGAATTAAAAACAAAGAAAGAGATAAAGAAAAATGTGTATCGATAAATGTCGAAACATTTTATACGAAAAAGGAAGTAAGAACGCCATTAAAGAATCTACAAACTGAAGCTGAAACTAAGGACTACGCACCAAAATGGTCCCAAGAAAAAACCCCTACAAAAACTGTGGAAGTTAAAGAAGTGTTAAGCCCATTTTCTCGTCATCTCAGATTTCCGGAGCCTATAAAAAAAGGTTCGGAAAATAAAAAGAAAGAAAAATTGCCGAGTGCTATCTCGTCCAAAGCGTGGAGAAAACATATCGAAAAGCAAGAGCAAGAGAAAAAGAACAAACAAGAAGCGCAACAGAAGAAAAAAGATGAAAGAAAGGAAAAACAAAGTACAAATAGTTCGAAAAAAAATAAAACAGCAAAAAAAAATGTATCCAAGAAATTGAAACTGATGTGTTCTCTTTGCGAAGACGAATTAATAAGTGATACAGAAAATGATTTGTTGAAAAACTTAGGTTGTGATATATGCCCTAAGTGGTTTCATTTAGCTTGCACTGAGTTATCTCATTTATCGTATGATGAAGCTGCAATCAAAAATTTTGTATGTAGTTCGTGCAAATGAGTTTAAAGACAATCAATGCAACTTTAAAAGTATTACTACTGTTTTGAAGAATACCTATACTTATTTTTGTTTAGTTTCAAAGTGTTTTTTGTATTTGTTAGTTTTAAAAATGTAGTGTATGCTTGAGCATATTTTACCGCTTACATGCAATAAAGTTGCTAGGTATTTTGTTATTATTTTCTACTTTTATTTCAATGTTTAATTAACATGGTCGAAAAAAGGGGGTTTTCGGCCACCCGACCGAAAACCGGCATGTCCATGGCCGAGAAAAAAACCACGTGGCCGAGAACTGGCAAAAAGCACATTTTTAATATTTTATTTAAGGAAAGGAAACTAAATAGATTTCTCATTTTTGAATGGACATAAATTAGTTTAGTATACTACAGGCTATCAGATAAAATGATCAAATTTAGAATTAAATCAATCAGGTCTTTTTAAACGTCGGTTTAATGGGAAAATTCAGTTAAGTGGCCGACAACTGGGCAATTCACCCTATTTCCGGATATTACTTTTAGAGTGTTTATTCGAGCGTTAAAATCTCTCAATATTATCATCTTTTCTCTGACTTGATCTACTACTTGTAATTCGTCATATGTTTCCCTTATTGTTTGAGGCTTGTTATTTTTTCTGGGCGTACACTCCGATGATGTTCAGGTCTTCCTTCTCCATTCTTATCTTTGCTGTTACAATCCTTTCTGATCTGTATTGACACTGATGTGAGTTTGGTACCTTCGCTGTATTACTAACGCTGCATATTCTTTGTCCCTGTAGATTAGTATGTATGCATCTAATTTTGATTGACTTTTCCTTTCTTTTTTGTTTCCTGTAGAGCACAAATTATATATTGATAATGGCATCTTAATTAAATCTTTAACTTATGTTAAATGAATGCTTAAAAATAAATAGCCCATCACTAAACCATTTAATAAATAAACCATAAATATTGGATCTTTCCTGATCTCTGTTACTCTTCCTTTTTAGCCTTCTATCTTCTAATTACTCGTCACAGGTTTATGTTAATCCTAAGACTCTTTACTATAATATTGATTATTAAGCTTTATTAATAAATGATTAAAGGATGGTGCAATTTCGCTTTACTGAACCGTCAATAAATCTTGCCTGACAGTTCTGATAAACTTCTTGTACAGCTATGTCTATATTACATTTACGAGCTCTTGGGTTTCTTTGCGACTTTATTGTTATATTTTTTGAACTATTAAACCTTAATCTTTGCTTTTTAGTACTTAATCCCTTTGTTTCCTCTTGCAATATATTTTTAGTAATTCTTATTTATTCAAACCCCTTCGCCCATTTCCATACACGTCTGCGTATCAACAAGCACATGCTCGATGATTACCGACCTCTACCGAGCGTGTCTTGTTTGGGACGTTCAAAACATGGAAGTAGGAACTTCAAACAAATCAACAGTTCATGTTCATATCGTGAACTGGCGGCAAGTGTTTGTTTTTGTAGTATTTTTGCCGCGCCGAATTTCGCGATACGAAGGTTAGATATTGATTCTTGTAATCGAAATGTTCCAATAAATGAATGGCTCGTTCTTGACCCTGTTACCCGAATTGGACCCACATGTGTTTTGAATTTGAAAAACCAGCTTTTGTAGGAATTTGTCACAACCAGGTAAGTGGTACTGTATTGTTGTTTATGTACGTTTTTTATAGACAATATATTATTATTGATTTATTATGACTGACTAAAACTATAAAGAATTTTTATTGCAAAGTAAACGGAATATTATTTACAGATTTTTTGTTTGTAATAAAGTTTTAGAATTTCGCGCTTTTTAAATAAAACATACATTTTTATATTATTATATTATCTATAATATAGTTTAGCACAATTAAAATAAAAACACTAATAAAAATTTGAACTCAAATCCTCATCATGGTATAAATAAATTTATTTAATAATCATTTAATAGTTTTTGTTTTATTCGAGATGTAAAATCATATACTACAAATTATATCATTTAGAATAAAACAAAGAAAAATCGAAAAAAGTTTTTCTGTATTTTATATGAAATATTTTTTGTTTTATTTAGATATTTGCGATTTATAACCTACTCAATAAATACATATAGTCTAGACGGGATCTGTTTTGGATTAGACATTTTCCATAGGAAGCTATTTTTTTGCTGGAATCCCTTCAGGATGGGCCCAATATCGATAATCACGATATGCGCCAGTCGCAAACCCTGTGCTAAATTTTTTATTTAACAAAATCTGAAAACAATTAAAAATTTCTTATTTTTTTGCTCCTATTTTCGTTTATAATTCGGAAAATATTGATCCTAGAGAAAAAATTATAAGAAGTTAAAAGTTACGTAATTCAATTTTACACAATATTTCGTTAGCTAGAAATTGGAAATTTAATGTTTATTGTTGAAAAAATAGCAATAATTGGAAAAAAAGTACAAAAAATGAAGTTAATGCTTTAAATATTTTTGACTTTCTAAACTTGACTTACACGCTCCATATTCCGCCTAGAGAAACTTTTTAATATGTTTAAAACGTGTGCTAAATTTTGTTAAGATCGGTCGGATAGGTTTTGCATAATAATTGTGCAATCCAGCCTACTGGAAAAAAATCGCAAATTTTCAAATTTATAGTAGGCCCTAAATAAGGCCCTCAGATAGTTGCAATTTTTTTTACGTATGAAGGAAGGCTTAAACTTTCAAACGCTTTTTGTAAAATTCAAATCGGTTCACTAGGAGAGCCTAGAAAAATTTTTACAATTTTAAACATTTTTTAGACTTATAAACAAATTGAATAACTTTACGAGCTTTAAACATATCATTTTCGAATCAAAATATATTCTCAAATCAAATAATGTCATTATTATGATAAAACTGCAGAAATTAATTATTTTAAAAATTTTGATTTTTACAAAAAAAATTTCGTTCGCCTTTGTTTTAACAATTCAAATTATTTATTAACAATTTATAAATACACATTTGTTTACTAAAAGTAACAATATGTAATGACAATAATAATTTGAATTGTTAAAACAAAGGCGAACGAAATTTTGTTTTTTTTTTTTGTAAAAATCAAATTTTAATTGTGATATATTTAATTTAAGTTTATTTAATTGTGATATGCTAGTGATGCTTTTTTTTTTATTAGATATATAGATATTGTTTTAATTTTTTTGTTTAGGTAATTTTTTATTAAGATTTAGAGGTTCCTCTTATTATTTTGATTTCTAGAACATTCGTTACCATTATTATTCTCATTAGCTTTCTCTATGTGGAATCGGCTTCTCTAAGTATTTTCCTCTAAACTTTTCGGTTCTCTTCCAGGGACTAAGTACCTCTCCGCTTTTTGTATGAGATTATGGTTTTTCAGAAACATGTAATTTCTGTTCATCCCCTTTTTTACTGCCCTACATTCAGTACCATACATCATCGCTGGTCTAAAGGCAGTCCTATACAATTTAGGAGAGCTTTAGAGAGGTTTTCCTTCGCCATTGCACCAATAACGGCCCCCCCTCCTTTGATTTCCCAGATTTTTAATAAAGAATAAAGACATTTTTAGATATAGCTATTTAGTGTTTTATTTGGTTTGCAATCGTTATTTCCAGTAAACCTCTGCTTCATTTTGTTGACAATGACAATTTTTCATAGCACTCAAGGTTCTAAAAAATGAAAATGGATAAATGTCAATTTGGATTTAGGCAAGGCAGCTCTACAACAAGCAATTTTTATTAAAAGAGCTAATTTAACAATTTAGAGTGAATTTACATTGTATTATTAAACTTGAGAAAGCACATGATGAAGATATCAGAAACCTACTGTGGCAGAGATTAAGTAGGAAAGGAGTGCCGGCTGAATATGTGAGTGGAGTATGAGCAAGTAACAACTATAATAGTGTTAAAACAACTATTATAGTGTTAGAACGATTACAGGTGAAACTGGCAAATTTTGTGTGAAAATGGGTGAAAATCAGGGTTTCGCCCATATTTATTCTCATTTGTGCTGGATTAGATAACAACTGAACCTGCTGGGTATTAGTAGAAAAGAGTAGCGGAGACAGGTCCTTGAAGAAAAATGATTAAAATTAAGTTGGATACAAACAAAATATTTAGAATATTCTTTTAAAGATGAAATTTCAAGACCAGATAGAGTAGTTGGCTTGGATAGACAAGAACTCATAAAAGATGATAATGTTCGGCTTTTAAGATTGGTATTACCGTTTTATCTCTAATATTTCAATTAAAGGTAAAGGAAAGAGGCAAATTGAGTGATGTATGATAAAAAAGGTACCAAGAAAACTAAAAGGTAAATTGTATAGGACTGCCTTTAGACCAGCTATGATGTATGGTACTGAATGTAGGGCAGTAAAAAAGGGGATGAACAGAAATTACATGTTTCTGAAAAACTATAATCTCATACAAAAAGCGGAGAAGTACTTAGTCCCTGGAAGAGAACAGAAAAGTTTAGAGGAAAATATTTAGAGAAGCCGATTCCACATAGAGAAAGCTAATGAGAATAATAATGGTAATGAATGTTCTAGAAATAAAAATAATAAGAGAAACCTCTATCTTAATAATCTTAATAAAAGAATCCTAATAAAAAATTACCTAAACAAAAAAATTAAAACAATATCTATATATCTAATAAAAAAAAGCATCACTAGCATTTCAAAATTAAATAAACACAATGTCTGAATTTAATTTTACCTACATAATGTCAAAAGAAAAATAAATTTTAATTTCTAATAAAACTGTACTAGTCAGCTTAATCCTAAAATGTGAATATCACCCGTTTTGTACAAATACCACAATATATTGCTAATAAATTCTTTAGCGATATACTGTGCCACAATACTAATTGTGATTTTAATAAACATGAAACCCGCCAATTTTTAAATTGGGACCCACCCACCAACCAATCACGCGAAAGTTAGGGAGCGCCTTATAATGTAGTCTCATCCATAGATGGTTTACTGTAAATTTTTGTCTTCTGGGCATAGTCGTTTAAGCAGAAAGTCTTCTTTCTACTGGTTGTTTTAAGAATTTTCTTATTATACGATTTTTGGCATGGTTTGAGGGATCTAGAAGTAAAACTAGCAAATTTTTTTTTAATGAAATAGAATTTTTTAATAAAATTTTGCGTTTTATAAAAGTTTAATTTTTTTTTGTTATTTATATTTATTTGTACATTGGCTTTAGTTATTCACAAAATTAACCTACCGTGAAATGGGATGAGATTGATCAATTTTAACTTTATTTGATTTACATTTTAAACGTTTTTGTGACTGTTCTATATTTAAGCACTTCATGTGTTATATTAATATCTAAAGAGTAGTGATTTAACACTAATTTTGTTTTAATTATTAAGAACATTCACTTATCTCAAAAAAGGGTGATCAATCTTAGACCCGTACTGGGGTGAGATTGATCATGATGATTTTATAGCATAAGACAGTAGTGCTTTTAAATAGAATATGATCAATCTTAACCTTGACTAATTCGGTCAGACAGCTTTTAGAATTTTTACAAAGGGGTGAGACTGATCATGCGGGGTGAGAATGAACACACTATTTATACAAAAAATGTAAAAATATAATTCAAAACAATTTATATAAAAAAAGAAAATTTGATTTACTTAACATTCTTTTATATTAATTTCTCCGCGAAAATAGCAACTATTTCCTTGAAGGGAACAGTGGATATGTCATTTTCAATTATTTTGAAAATATTCCTCGATCCTGCCTTGAACTTTAATTTCTTCTCCTTCTAAAATTCCTTTTACCTGACAGACACAGCGAAATTCCGTCTTTTTCCGAGAACCAGACAAAAATCTCACTAACAGTAATTTTCCCTTCGTGATGAAGGACAGAAGTATTCAACCTTCTCTTCATCTTTGTTAATATCATCATTGTTGCTGTCATCTAATTCCAGGTTTTCATTTAAATTATCGTCACTGGACTACTCTGATGGTTTAGGTGCTGTAACACTTTGACCAGGTTCAGCTGCTAACAGTTTTCTTTTACGTCTAGGTTTTTCAGAGCCGGAATTGTACCTCAATTCTTTCAAAAAGTTAGTAAGAGAGTATCTAAGCTCGGCTTGATCAATAGCGTCTTGTGGTAGCTTTTTCAAAACTCGATTGGGGTTGAATGGTGCAAAATGCTACATGCTTCAAAACCAGAAAGTAAATTTCTTTTTACAGCACTTTTCTCTCCGTCTGGTTTTTAGGTGGTACTTTATTCATGATTTCAAGTGTTTGCTAACATCTTAGGAAATTTATTTTTCGGAATCCGAGAGGTTTTGGAATTTTGTATTTTCTATGATGTTTTCCTTCAGCTTTCTTTTAAGGGCCTGAAGAATGCGGTATCCAATGGCTGGCAAATATTAGTAGATTTGGCTGGTAAGCATGCAAATATTATATTATTTTCTTCATATTGTCTCAGAACATCTGGATTAAAATGAGATGCTAGGTTGTCCCCTATTAACACCTTTTTTCCATCGAGTCGCCTAGCATGTAGTAAGAAGCAAGTGACAAACCAATCATTGAATGTTGACATATAAATCCAACCATGGGAGGTTCGATTATATCGTGTCCCCAGTGAGCAACATGGCTGTTCGCAGCATGGGCTGCTATTGGGACCATTTTCTGTTCA